TACAGGATAGAATGCTGTTCTGAATCATTCACTTGGTTCTATAGACAGCTCTTACGCTTGAATGGGGTGTTGATTCAGGAAGTCTCAGTGTGTATTAGGCAGAGAGATGAATGACACAAGTAGAATAGGATTTGGTCTTTACATTAGGATCCATGGTTCACTGACCACCTGAATGCAATTATATTCATTAGTAATGGTTATAACGATTATGCTATTAACACTTGCTTTCTCATACAACAATTAGAGGTTCCCACTGTAATTAATTAAATTGTCATACCTGTCAACAAGAAAAATAAGACAAGTCTCATTTGGCCCCTCTCCAGTGTAAACAATTCACAAATCACACAGCCTTAGAACAGTTTCAGTTGTACAGTACCTCTGAAACTCATCCGGTCTCTAACACCATGTTCAAAGCATCGCCAACTTGAAAGTTAGATCAGATTGCTCAGCACCTTGTCCAGTTTTGAATATTTCCAAGTTTGCAAGATCTACCACCTCCCTAGCCAATCTTCTTCAGTGCCCAACAAGCCTCATTGTAAAAATTACTTCTCTTTATATCTAGTCAGGGTGGCAATCTGTGGCCCTTACCTCATGTCTGTGTTGTAAAAGAGTCTGTCTCTGCCTTTCCTCTTGCCAACACAGTGGCCCTTTGCTAGGCTTACTCCAGTTTGTTAATGTCTTGTTTGTACTGCGGACTCCAAAACTGGACACACTTTCAGAAGTTCCAAAAAAATGAGTATAATTGTTTTCGGTACTCTCGCCACGTAGTGCCTAGTACAGTTGATGGTTAGCAGTGCAGTATATGGTTAGCCCTCACTGTTGTAAGGGTGCACAATTGACTCATAAGTAACTTGTCATCCAACAACAACCCTTAAGTGCTTTTCATTAGTGTTGCTCCCTAGACAGTTGGTCTCCCCCAATTGTTTACTTTCAGATAACTTTTGTCAAAGCATTTCTCCAGCTTTTTGCGATTCCTCTGAACAGCAGCCTTATTATCCAGCTTCTTGACTGCTCCCTGCAATTTGGTGTCAACCACAAACTTGCTGACAGTGTGTGCCTTTCCGTATAATTGCAAAACAACAAACCACACCACTACCATTTTGTCGGGTAGAGCCAATATACTGGTTTCCGAGGTAATGAAAAGCAAAAGATTGTTTTGAAGGCACGCTTCACAGGGGACTAGGGCAGGAGCTGAGTGACTACTAGGAATGAAGACCTGGATTTAAACAGAAAAATAACAGTGTTTTATATAAAAGCAGACAATGACAGCTGCTCTGGTCAGTAATTACCTGAGACTAAAAGTGGACAGAAACAGTCGATGTGCACACTAATACCCGTCTGATCTGCCAGTATTTCCACCCATTCTCATCTTGCACCATTGTACCCATAAATGTCAAATCAAACTACTATGTGTGTTTTAATGCTAGTGCACACAATAATCTTTCAATCTTTATCCAATACTGGATAAAAGTATCAATTACGGAAGTATCCTTGGCTACTTCTTTGATTTTTATACTATACGATTTATGCAAAGAAGCCACAAGATGAATAGGAACGTGGCCCAAGACTATTTTTACCCCCACAGAAAGATCAATAGGCAAGATTCCATCTTGGTTACCACAATGTCAGTCTGGAGACACCTCAGTAGCCAGCTGAGTTTATTTGCATTGCTGGAGATTAAGATCGAGTCTCACTACCACTGGATGCGTCAATCATTAGCAGAGAGCCTTTGTACCTGGCGTTCACATTGACTGCAAATCTCACATACAAGGAGCAATGCATACAAAACTCATTTCAGAGTATTACATGTCGTCCAATACAAGAAGTAAGAGGAAATAAAAATGGAACACAAGCAAACAACCTCCCTCTTGGAAGAATGCGCACCTGACAAATGTGCTGTTCTATCTGGTCACTAGTTGAATTTTATAATACCTGTGACGCTGAGTCACCTTGTCCTATCAGGAAACTGAAGAGATATAAATACTCTCTGGCGAACAACTCCAATCTTTTCCACAACCACCTGAAGCAGGAGGGAAGAAACTTCTGATCTTCCTGGAAACAAAAGGTAGGATTTAGATTGCTTTGTTTGTTTAAAGTATTACAATTAATTTTCATGTATTAAAATGAAACCTGTTGTCAGAAGACTTCTTGAACAATTTAGGACTGTCACAGAAAGAGGATTTTGTTCAGGGAAAAATAAGGATTACATCGGCAATAGTGTAACACAAGCTGAAAAAAATGGAGAGAAAATTGATGAGCAATCAAAAACAGATGAAAGGCCACCTGTATGCAAGAAACCAGTATCTTGGCAGATTATACGTACGTAGAGAAACAGACAGAGACAGACCCAACATATTGAACTGGAAATATATTCAGTTCAGTGTATTCTATTGCTATATGTAGCTACCACCACTTATTATCAGAGTGGGGAAATCACCACCTTGTGCAACTTACCATTCTCACGCAAGGTGGCTGCTAAATAGCACAATGTACAATGCTGTACAAGTGAAATCACAGCTAGTATTACTCTATTTCAAGTGCTTTTCAAAGGTAGTAAAAAATAATGGGAATGTTCTTTTGTAATAGATATTCAATTGTATGAATAATTTGAGGATAATCTTTTTTTGGAGGAGGATGGATGGGAAAAGCATATTCACACAAGTTTGCTAAACTCTTGCAAACAAGGGATGCTAAAGTACCATCTTTCAGTGGCAGATCCCTGTACACAGATGGAGTTACAGGAAAGTCAGCAAGACTTGGCATATGTCCTGATTTGTGTTTGATTGAGGGGGAACAGGGGAGGGGGACAGAGAGACTGAATTTAGGACCAGTGCCTAGAAATTAATGCAGAGCAATTAAATTTACATCTCATAAACTATAAGCATTTGGTTGAAATCAGTTGGATTGCCAAAAGTATGTTAATATCTTGGAACAGGAAACCCACTGGGTCTTAAAAAGTATTCCAAAGGCATTTTGAAACTTGCATCACGTATTAAATCACCAATTATATTTAATTGGAAGTTAATTCATAGAAAATATTACAGTGAATGACTGTTTTGCCCATGTCTTTAAGTTATCTTCTTCAGTTTGGTTTGCAAAATAGAAAGCTTTACAATTATAGTGAAGAGTTATATTTCCATTGAAATAGAGAACTTGTTTTTACATGTTTTAGGTGCAAAAAGTGTTGTTTCCTCTTAGCATATCATCACATTTTGCACTCAAAATATGTATTTTTGCTTGTAACATGAGTACGGCTAAAAATAACCCCCACCTCTATTTACTTTCAGTTACAAATGAAGTGAAAATAATAATTTTTCATGCTATTAGGAGTACAGTCGTTCTCTGCTAAACACCTAGGTCATATACACTGCAAAGTTTCTACTGGCTCTGAGGAATAATTTGTAGAAAAGTTACTAAGAAAATGCTTCTTGATTCTGAAGCACTTCAAGGAGGCATAGGTGATGTCAAAGTTAAACAGAAGTGACATAAGACGATACCAAGAACAAGGTATCAATTACTTGTACTGTTAATTACCAGTATGTTTTTCCCCCAGATCAACTAGATCTTTCCTCAACCACAAGTGCTTGGAACAATCCACCCTGTTTTTGAGGCTGTGAGAATTTAATTGTACAGATGTGGCCAGTCTGTCCAGTTTTTGGAGCTCTGAGCCACAGCTGCCCATGGTCACCGTCCACTTCTATGGGCTTTGCTCTTTAGCAGAGATGGAGTAGCTCCCCTGCCTACAGGCTGGGGACTGTGGGTTGTCTACAGTGTAGTTTAAGAAAGCTGGTGAGGAAAATGGGCCTTGCTGTACCATTTGGAAAAGGGTAGGTTTTCTTACCCACATATTCTCCATGAGCCAGAGCACCCTGTGTTTTATATAAACAGGTTGCCTCAAGGTAAAGAGTCTATGCTGAATATGGAAAGAACAGCAAATCCTACTGGCCTTTCCCCAAGAATAAATTAAAACTAAAACCAGCAGCCTCTCAAAACCAAATAAGCAGTTAAGCTAATAATATATCTCTGTGGCAACATGACCATAAATTCCCTTGGAGTTGGAAGCCGGGAAAAATGCCAAAATAAGTAAATTCCACTCTTGTCACCTGCTTGCCAGCCCAAGGTAGCTAAGCCGCAACAGGCTGAATGTAAATCCTAGTACCGATTGCAATCAGGCACCAGAACTTTGAAGTGACCTATTACCTCCTGGATCACTCCAGTGGGATGGTGCGGCACTTTGAGCCTCCTAGTAAAGTAGCGTCTTGGAGCCCAGAGTCTGGTGGTTGCTTCTTCAATTAGAGAAGACTCTTATTTTTGCTGTCATTCCACACTGCCTGTAATATAATCAAGAGTTGCCTTCAAAAAAATAAAAACAATAAAATCTTTCTGAAACAAGTCTTCCCTAGGAAGTCAGTGCTGGCCAAATTCTCGTCCAGCCAGTTCTGCCCCAGGTCAGGTGCAAGGCTTCACAGTACTGGTCATTAAGTAAGGCGTTGAATCTAGGCTCAGACACCTGAGCATACAGGTCTGCAGATGGGCTGAGTGTCTAACACCCCTTTCAACCAAAGCGGTCCATTAAAAGCAGGCAATAGGGAATAGGGAAAGTTTCAGAATAATGCAGACACAAAGACAAGCTAAAAGCGGCATCCCACCTCGGCCGTTCAACAGTGCACCAATGAGCAGGCAGCTTCCTACAGGAAGGGAAGCACAAATGTCCTCCTGTACTCAGAATTCAGGTGAAGGTATTCATCCAGGATTACAGCAGAAAGCAAGAGATGTACAAAGCAGTGGATTCATAGAAATTTGGAAATGGAGACAGGGCATGAATTTTATTTTTTTACTTTTGAAAATGGGAGGACGAGAGAAGGAGGAGAGAAAGGAAGCATTACCTTGTTATTTGAGAAAAAGCCAGGAAATACACAGAAGAAAGTCGAATTACGTATTCAGAGAAATGAAAGCTTCATAAAAAAACAAATTAAATCCTCGTTCTCCCCTTTTCAGAGATGATTCTGCTAGTGACGTTCCTGTGTCTCGCAGCTGTGCTGTCTCCATCCACTGCACAGGTAGGATCCACTCTTTGTACTATGAAAATCTGGATGGGACACAAGCGACTCGTTGTCTGACTGAATATGGCTTTTGCTATGTACACCGATCATATGCAGAAAGTCTGACTGGATATCTAGGATCTGTAAAGCATTTACAGATGTAAAGCATAAGGACATGGATTTGCTGGAGCGTGTCCGGAGAAGAGCAACGACGCCAGTGAAGGGTCTAGACAACAAGTGAAGCGGCTGAGGGAACTGAGGTTGTTTAGTCTGGAGGAGGCTGAGAGAAGACCTTCTCGCTCTCTATAACTACCTGAAAGGAGGTAGTAGGGAGGCAGGTGTTGGTCTCTTCTCCCAAGTAACTAGCGATAGGACGAGAGGAAATGGCCTCAAGTAGCTTCAGGGGAGGTTTAGATTGAATGTTAGGAAAAATTTCTTTACTGAAAGAGTGGTCAGGCATTGGAACAGGCTGGCTGGGGAAGCGGTGGAGTCACCGTCTTTGGAGGTGTTTAATAAATGTGTAGATTTGGCACTTCGGGACGTGGTTTAGGAGGCATGACGGTGTTGGGTGGATAGTTGGACTTGATGATCTTAGAGGTCTTTTCGGGACGTGGTTTAGGAGGCATGACGGTGTTGGGTGGATAGTTGGACTTGATGATCTTAGAGGTCTTTTCGGGACGTGGTTTAGGAGGCATGACGGTGTTGGGTGGATAGTTGGACTTGATGATCTTAGAGGTCTTTTCCAACCTTAATGATTCTGTGATTCTATTCCATGATTCTGTGATTTCTCCTTGAAGTCTCTTTAATTTCAAAGCAGTAGTCTGGTTCCACACTTGCACACTAAACCAGCTATAGAATCACTGTTACTTAGAAGTTGAATCAGAGATAACTATATTTGCCAAAAGCTCCCATACACAGGTCCAGTAACATGGATCTCCCAAAGATCCAGCCCTCTTCCTGCTAATTCCCCACATTTTTACAGGCAGCTGTTACCCAACTCTCTCCCCTTCTTGTCGTACACGTCCTATGTGCCTGTCCCTTTGCTCACGGTCCCGTCCTCTCAACATATATCACTGATTCCCTTCAAACAGCTAAACGAACTAACACACTCAGCTTATGCTTAAAGTAGTTCCACTCAATCCATGCTTAGTCGGAAGTTTGATGCTACTTCTGCTTCAGAAACACTGATGTGACTGCAGGCTTGACTACATTTCCCTTTATTTTTCCATTTCTGCTCTCCATGCTGCAGTCTAGAAGACTAGTAAGAATGGTTGTAAAGAGGAGGCTGAATTCTTCACATGGCTATTTTTCAATTAGGAAACACATCAAAAGTTTGAGAAATGCTATCAGCTGTGGCAGGAGTGGAAGAAAATCTATGCCATGAAAAACATAGGCACACTTTTTTGTTCAGTGGGAAGTCCTGATGAAGTAGCACAAGAGATCTGTGATGATCCAGGTTCCTTCAGTGCAAAAATATTGATAATCATGTTTAAAACACTGAAGAACAGGAACACATCATAAGCACATTCATGTCTTCAGCTGTTTTTTAGATCCTGCTTCCTCAGAATGTCATCGAGGAAATAATAATAGTAAATTGTCTGATTCAGATGACTATGTTTAAGAGTCTACAGACACATGAGATGTTCCAGGATATCTCAGCCATGCACAGAGTGTTGGCACGTATGACACAGGCACCAGTGTTATTACTGCTAAACTCTACACTGTGGAACCACTTAAAGTGCTACTCCACATGGAAACACTTCTAGACATACTTAGGAGCCCAAGTGTATCACTGTACCTCCTCCACCACAGAATCATCGCCTTGGCTGATATAAGCATTTTGGTATTTTAATATTTCCTAGACTGGATTAAGGATTTAATTACATTCAAATAAAAAAGAAATATAACGTGTTTTTTCATTTTAGGAAACTGAAGGTTTTGATGATCTGTCAACTAGCAAAGTAGATCAGCAAAAGCTGATTGTTGACAAACATAATGCCCTCAGGAGAGGGGTAAACCCAACGGCCAGCAACATGTTGAGGATGGTAAGTTGAGTGCTGTAAATCTGTCTGCAACAAGTAATGGACCCTACGAAAGATACAGAATTATATGCAAGGTCACATTATTTAATTTAGCCACACATTCATGCTCCAGACCTTTCCTAAGGATTGAACATGGCCAGCACCAAGACAAACATAAAGCTGGGCAGGTGGACAAAAAAGGCGTTGAGAATTTTGTGGTGTATGAACACTAATGACTCTTTCTTTTGGAGGAAAAAGAAAAGGAAAAAGAGGAGCCACAGCATTGCTCATTTCTTTCTGGTGCGGTCTTCATCTGTCTTCACAGTTGTTATTCTTCTCCTGGGTACATAGCAACTTTGTTGCTACTCCCCCTACACCCCCAAAAAGGGGAAGAAAAAGATTTTGTATATTTTTTTTCTGATTTTAAGTGTTATTTCCAAATGTTTTTCCTTTATGAGAGTTTATTAATTGGTACATGTCTGAATGACTAATATTTTCTTCTTTCATTAAGCAATGGTCTCCTGCAGCTGCAAAGAATGCCCAAAATTGGGCCAATAACTGTACCTTAAGTCACAGTCCTGCTAACATGAGGAGAACCAGTAAGTGAACCATGAGTAATAACTGAATGATATCATACATGTTATTGATGTGACCAGTTTGAATATAAATGGTGTCTAGAAAAAAAAAAAAAAACAAAAACCAATGTGATTTTGTTAGTGCACAGGACAAAGGCAGAATTCTAGCCATAAATCTGTCCAGTAAGTGAGAAAATTTCAATCCCTTTTTCATCCTAATTGCATCAGTTATACATAGATATATCCTATTTTCTTCAGTTGTGAAAAAATCATAGTGAGAAAGATTCTCACATATTCTCTCAAAATACCTTCCAGAAACAAGAGAATCTAGATCCAGTTTACTGCAGAAACCAGCCTGTATTTGCTGGATGAAACTGTCAGGGAAGGAAGGGGCAAAGGGTGAAGGTCCAAAACCCACTGGTGGTGCTAAGCAGAATTACTAAGACAAGACTCAGAATTCTTAAATGCCCTGGCAACTTCCAACCTATAACTATCTTAGAGGATCATATAAACACCTCAGTCATTGGATATTGAAGTTATAGCTGTACTATGTTAACAAGAGCAACGGTCAGTGCCCAATGTGGTGTTAACCGACTTCTGTAAGCACTGTACGTAAGATGAGGGCTGTCCTTCAGTCCCCATACTTTTTACTTAAGAACAAAATCCTCTGGTGCTTGTTAAGGTGAACCCCAGACGAGAACTAATATGTGTGTAGGCTTAGACCTAAATAAAAACAGTAGGTGAAGACAGTGTAGAAACCTTCATGTGTACCAGAAGTAAGCTTTGAATTTTGGGGATTTTCTCAAGATTACAGAGCTGTGACCTGAATAATGACTAGGTTGCTAACTTTCAAATAGCAAAATTACAGTCATGAATCTGTGGTGTACATGTGCAGGTCTATCTCCAGATATGCAGAACGTCTGTCAACAACCAAACTACCAGCCAAACAGGCTCGCTATGATGCAAACCGGTCAAGTGACAACTTCAGTATTGACAAAGGGTGATGTCACTGAAGTGGAAAAAAAAGAACACCCTGCCATCCCATCCGGGATGAGAACTTCCATGGAAAACATACTGCCTTTTGCTATCTTTTTCTCACGTGTGTCTCTTTTATGCATTTCTCAGCACCTTTCTCTTTTCAGCTGTACAATGTGGTGAAAATCTCTTCATGTCATCCGCCCCTTTCCCATGGTCAGATGTTACTCAGGCCTGGTACAATGAGGAGAAAGATTTCATATATGGAACTGGAGCAAAAAGACCAGGTGCTGTGATTGGCCACTACACTCAGGTAGATGTAACTTTTTTCTATCTATTTCAGTCTGAATAAATAGATATCTATATGTTAGCTAAGCAACTTCTATCCTCTCATTATCTTTAAAGGGAATAAGTACAATGGAGACATGACAGTTTTCTGACAAAACTAGATGAAATCTTTTGAAGTAACAGAATTAAAATTAAAATAATAGGCTAAGTGTGTTTACAGAGTAAAGACTAAAGATACTGATATTCCAAAACTTCAGGAAGAAACAAAGGCAAGAAGCTTATTTTTTTGTTTAACATCTGAAAATTCCTCAGGTGCTGGAAGAACAGGGTTACGAAAGTATAAGGAAGAAAATATATATAGGTTTTGTTACAATCTACAGAGTTCTATTGATCCAGAGAGTTTCCAGTGGCACAATGGCTTATCATAACCTTCTCTGTTCACCTGTACGAAACACAGGATACAAAATTTTGCATTATGATTCCTACATCTCCTTCAATAGTTTTCACTGAATGAAAACAAACATAACTGACACTGTTTAAATCAAACATTTTATATATATGTGTGTGATAAGTTTTTATCATTATATCCTAAATGTTCTTTCATCCAGGGGTGAAAGTAAGGGAAAAAAATGTTTTTCCAGTGAGGTGGAGCATATATTTTACTATAAAGGGTAAATAAATTGGCTGAATTTGGTTGCAAATGTTTCTGTAATGCATATTGTACTCAAATGACTTTTAAATGTATATGTTTCATTCTGCTGTGATTTTTCTTCTTATACCTACAGGTAGTTTGGCACAGTTCTGGACAAATTGGATGTGCTACGGCTTACTGTCCCAACAGTAAATATAAACACTTTTATGTCTGCCAGTACTGCCCTGCGTACGTATTGATTCTGATTCTGGAACTTCTTATTATGTTATCAAAATTAGTGAGGAGATGGTAAAATTTGTAATAGGGCACATCACCTGTAGCTGATAAACAGGCTTGAAGAGTGTGTTAGAATTATGAAAAGACAGGAACATACTCATCAGAAGAACCACCAATAGACTACCAAGCTGCTTTATCACTCCCCCTCCTCAACAGGACAGGGGGAGCAAAAATATGAGAGAAAGCAGTGGATCAAGATAAGGACAGGCAGATTACTGGCCATTTGCCATCACAGACAAAACAGACTCAACTTAGGGAAATTCACTTAATTTATTGCCGAACAAACTGAGTAGGATTATGAGAAACAAAAACAAATCTAAAATCATCTTCTGCCCACCCTTCTCTTCTTCCTAAGCCCAGTTTCTCTCCTGATTTTCTCTGCCTCCTCCCACCAAACAGCACAGGGGGATGGGGAATGGGAGTTACGGTCAGTTCATAACATGTTGTGTCTGCCGCCTCTTCCTCCTCACACTCTTTTGCTGCTCCAGTGTGGGGTCCCACCCATGGGAGAAAGTCCTTAACAAACTTCTCTAACATGGGTCCTTCTCACAGGCTGCAGTCCTTCACAAACTGCTCCAGCATGGGTCCTCTCCATAGGGTGCAGTCCTTCAGGAGCAGACTGCTCCAGCATGGGTCCCCCACAGGTTCACATGTCCTGCCAGAAATGCTGCTCCAGTGTGGTCTCCTCTCCATGGGGTCACAGACTCCTTCGGGTGTATCCACCTGCTCCGGCATGGTGTCCTACATGGGCTGCAGGTGAAGATCTGCTCCACCATTAACCTCTATGGGCTGCAGGAGGACAACCTGCTTCACCATGGCCTTCACCACAGGCTGCAGGGAAATCTCTGCTCTGGCGCCTGGCCCACCTGCTCCCCCTCCTTCTTCATTGACTTTGATGTCTGCAGAGTTCTTTCTCTCGCATATTCTCACTCCTCTCTTCTGGTTGTTGTTGCACAGAATTTTTTACCCTGTCTTAAATATGTTACAACAGAGGCACTACCACCATCACTGATCGGCTCAGCTTTGGGCAGCAGTGGGTCTGACTTTCAGCCAGCTGGCACTGGCTGTGCATGAAATAGAGGCAGCTTCTGGTGTCTCCTCACAGAAGACACGCCTGCAAATTCTACCCCCTGCCCCACTACAGATACCTTTCTAGATATATCCAACCCACATAAAATAATTTTTTGACATATAACCTAAGATAGAGTATAAATTCATATATGTATACATCCATATAATTAAGTTTTATTGTCAGAGATGTTACTGTGACTTTATAGCTTATGTTGGTAATGTTGATGTTTCAGGGGGAATCTACTAAGTTCAATTAAGACACCCTACAAAAAAGGAGAACCCTGTGGTGATTGCCCGAATGCTTGTGAGAATAGATTATGCAGTAAGTTTTAAGCACTTTAATTGTGACTCAGATAAGTTGATGCTTTTAAAATGTCCCAGTTAATTTATGCAAATCAAAAGTTTTTGAAATTCTTTGTTCAAATACCAGGCCAAAAGCACTATTATAGAACCACACTTCATCATGCTAGGTGCTTTACGTAGGTAGGACAACTTGTGGAGTGAAACCAAAAAAGAAGTCTGTGATTAAGGGGGCAGTCGCTGGTGTACATAGGGATGCAGATACCCTCCACTTCACGGATCAAGATGTTCATATCGGTTAGATACCTTCATGAAAGAAGACAATGTCTGGGTCTCCACATGGAAATTCTCAAAAATATTTCCTAGTCTAAGATGCATTGACTCCAGTGATGTCAAAGATAAGTTTATACCAACAGTAGCATGGAAGTCCAAGCTCCAGATTTCCAGTTTCAGTTTATATGCTTTTCCATACCCAGGAGAGTCAGTTCTCATCCTTGAATCTAGAAAATGTCAGGGAAGCAGGGGACTTCTTTACCTTTTTTTCTTCTTCCTCCTTTGAACAATGGCGGCTGATCAGGTAGCAGTAGCAGCACACTTGGTAAGAGCAAGTAGCAAATCTGAGCTTTAAGAGACTAAACACATATGGGCTGAGTCTCATAATGCAAGACTTAACTGCAAGTCTAACTTCTGTTACGTAATTAACCTAATTCTCATCATGAGCTGCAGTATAAAGGAGGAAAATTTGAAAACACCCTGCAAGTTCATTGAGAAACCTCCTTGAAAGAGCTAAGAATTTTGTAGGTGTGGTCAAAGGTTTTGTATGCTGCTGTGAAGTAAACGGTAACAAAGAGGAAAAAAGTACAGAGAAAAGAAATATTGATGAAAAATTATTCCAAAAGGAAACGCTGCAGGTTTTCATTTCCCTTTTATAATTAATTTTGTGTTTCAATTTGTTTTCAGCCAAGCTTTGAAAGTTTGAAGATGTGTATTCCAACTGTCTTTTCAAAGTATCCTGGATATACCCATAGCTTCGTCAAGTTCACTGCCCTGCTTCCTCTCAATGCAAAATGGAAATAAAATAATAGGCTCAATGTTTCCTTTCCTGGACATCCATGTTTTTAGTGAATTGTTACAGAAAAACAGATCCCATCCTGCCTCTCCCACATATACAGAAGGACTAACTTCAGTCCAGTAACTCACACAAGAAGAAGCTGTAGGAAGATGTATATATTCTATTCGTATAATGGTCTAGAACATAGTGGAGATCTTAACTGAAAATTGGCATTTGGGTACCAGATATATCTAGTGGTTAGCTTCTCACATCTTTTTTTCCCCAAAATGTTATCTGAGGAGCATTGTTTAAAGTCCTGTGGTTCCATATGTTTTGTATGTTCTTAGTATAGATGGATAGTCCTTGGTCATGCAACTAGTCTTAACCTGACCAACATTTTGAGTTATTGTACTATAAATAGTACCAGAAGATAAACAGGATTACCTGAAATATGTAGTTCTCAAAAGGAATTAAGAGAGCAGCGCAGTTTCTACTAGATCTATTCTGGTTTAGAATCTGTATCTTTCGCTGACATACATTCTACTGTGAAATGCTTAGTCATATTTAAAAGTAAAAAAAAAAATAGCGTATTTAATTTAAATTAATGATTCTGCTTATATTATAAGATTGCACTTAGCATGAATACAGGTAACCAAACCTTCCCTTGAATGAAAAGAAACTGTCTGAGAAAAGGGCTTAATTCACAAAAAGAGATAGCCAAGGGGAAAGGTGCCTGTATTTGGAAACCTTGCTTTTAATAGCAAATAAAGATGTCTTTGAAAATTGTTTTTTTAGTACCTTCTTTTGCTATATCAATCATTAAATTACTCGTTCTTTACTACCAACTCATAGTAATTTTTCTTCTTTCTTATTACGATAAAATACAGTTCACTTGACTTCCATCAACAATGTGACTTTATCAGCATTATGTCTTGAAGGGAACCTGATTTTTTAGCAGCATAAGAAGAAACAATTTATGTGAGAAACTGAAAATATGCTTGGCAAAACAGAATGCAGGCAAATAACTTTCCTTCAGACCTTCTTTGAGACCGAATGACGGTTACCATAAATAACATGCAATACTCACTTCTGTGACCTTTGGGAAGCAAGTGCTTTTCTCTGCAGTCTACAGTAGGACTAAATATTGTTTCAGTCTTACCTTACAATTGTTTTACATTCCAGTCCTCTTTTAGTAAGGAAGCCGCTGTCATAATTACGTTTCCAAGTCCCAGAGTCTTTGGCATAGAATAATTTTAGCACACATTTCTGACTCATTCATTTCAGTGGCAACTTCAACACACAGTTCTGACTCATTTGTTTTGGTGGAATTTCTTCTAGCATGAAAGACGAGCACTAAGTCAAAAGTCCTTTTTGACAGTTCAGAGCATTTGGGTTGTTGTTTTTCTCATTCATCTTTACCAATTTTTCCTTCCATGGTATACTTCCCTCTCATTTGGGTACTTCTCTACTAGGAAATTAACCAATGCCAGGACATAGATGTGGGCACTGGAACATGACTTACTGCACTCTTAAATAGTTAGCACAGACCTGAGTAAGAACTATGAGAATGTAATAGGTAATCCAGTGTTTTTATCATTAAGGAAATGGGTAGGTCTGTTACCACCCCACTCCTAAAAAAGTCTGTTTACTATGAGTAACAGGTCTAGAAATCTTTTGTAACTCACAACACAAGAACTGATTTCTCAGTCACTCACAAGAGGAAAGAAGTAGTGTAATGAGGTAAAATCAGCCCTCATACATCCCTCCCATGAGGACTCACGGAACTAAAGGTCAATAAACCTAATTTAGATATCTAGGAAGATAATGGAGGAAATTGTTTACCAGTTATTCTGTAAAGAGTAAAGTATAAAATACCAGCATGGATTCATCATGAGCCAATCTTGCCAAACCAAACTTTCTTCTTCAGTGAGTAACTCAGATGAGTGGATATAGTCTGGCTTTGGTACCAGTGTTTGACAAACCTGTAAGAGACATTTGCAAATTAGGGAGATGCGCTTCAGATGAAAGTAGTAAGACACAGCACATACACTCCATTGAATGCCCACACCTACGATGGTCCTGTGCCAGGAGCAGAGATGGAGGCCTCTGGCAATGCAGTTAGGTGTCTGCACAGATGGACAGCAGACACTTCCAGAGCTAACTGCACAGCTCTCACACATGATGTCCATGACCGTCCCCAGCCACAAGTCACTATCACAGTTGAAGACAGCTTTTGCCAATGATGTTAAAAACCTTCGTTGAATGCTTTACTTGGGTAAAGGAGGGTCAGATCCATGTTCCCATTTGCCACAAGCACATTCAGGGCATTTTCCTGGACAAAAAACAAGTTCTACGTTCCCAGATAGCTTCCAATGAACATTAAGAGTTGATTCTGTTCTAAGAAATGTGCCAGAATTTTAATCCATAACAGTTTAATATAAAATTAATAACTGGTACTTAGGAGAGACAACATCTGCAGAAGCAGTAACAATTGATAGATCGATGATAGTATAAGCAACCCTTGGAGCAGAAAATGTAAGGTGTCCTGTGCTGTGCTACCGAGTCAATAATCTGCTCCTGTTTGCTTCAAGGAATTTTAAATTCTTTCCCTCTCCAGAGGGACATGTCTTTGATGGGTAAAATACAGAATGTTTTCCTCACCTATCCCAAATAGCATTTAACTTAGTCTTCACAGTACCTGCTTCATAAACATTGGCTTTAAGGCAGACTGGCATTATATCATTTCTCCTGTTCCTCTGACATGTTCTCTCACTATGAAGAAAATTGGTAAAAAGTAGACTTCCACCAACACCTTTTTTTTTCATTTAATCACATTTTGGGAGGAAGATGACTGTGACCATCTTTATGTGGGGTCCAGCTACTGGTTTTTCTTGGGAATGAGAATGGTTTAGTGACTGACTTTGGTAAAACTTCGTCCTCTTGCAACCAAGCAGTGTCAGTAAAAGACTTGAACGTCATCATAGCAGATATTTCAAAATGTATTGTAGGCAGCATGCCTTGTCCCTGATAGCTCCCTGTGGTCACTGGGGTCCTCACATCAGATCTTGCGTTCCTCTTAGTTCATCCTCTTCCTGGCTTATTTCACCTTTCAAGTTGAAATCCTTGAAGCCTTTCCTACCTTTACCAAGGATAAAAAGACAAGGAGCTGCCATGGGAGGGCCCATGGAAAGAGGTCATTCCCCATTCCTTCTTCTCACCTACTTCTTATGGAGCTCCCAGCAGACAGCTGACTGCCCTAGGACAGTGCCTGAATCATGTCCCATATCTTTGGCCCCTTGGTTCACTGTGGAAAAGTACACAGTTTAGAATACAACAGAATAGAATAGAATAGAATAGAATAGAATAGAATAGAATAGAATAGAATAGAATAGAATAGAATAGAATAAATTCAGTTGGAGGAGACTGACAACAATCATCTAGTTCAACTGCCTGACCACAAACTAGTTTAGAACTAGTTCCTCTCTAAACTGCAACATTTCTCACACTTGTGCAAAGGTGTAAAGGGAACAGCAAAATTTTATGATATGTACAGTTCAGCTAAGGCAATATCCTGTCTCTCGCCATTACAAAAATAAATTCCGCTAATGGCAGGTAGAAAAATCCTGTGGCAGGCAGACTGAGTTTGCTGTTTGCCTGAATTTTATATGCAACATTCATGACATCCTTTTAGTGCTGAAACAGAAACTTTAATGTCATTTTGAAACTGTATCATCATTAGTTATGAAACTTCTGGATATTCCTAGAATGTATGCAGCCTTCCGAAACTGTAAGATGGATGTATTTTACACCCCTGACATGTTTTAGGCCTTGATTCACTTATTTCTCAGAACTTGTAGAAAAGTTCTTGAAATCTGCAAAGCAAAAACATGCAATACACTTTTAAATGTATGTGTAGAGACTTGATTGATTTGACACTTTAACGTGTTACAATAATGTTTCTAGGGTGACAATGGAGAAATGGTGGTGTCTTTTTATGTGTGGTGGGTTTGAAAAATCCCTGCTGAAACTCTGGATTGCCTCGAACTTAGACTCTCTCCTGGCTGCACTATGCAACAGCTCTTTCCCAAAATTCAAGAGAAAGATATTTTATGTTATTTCAAGTAACAATTGTTTTCTGTGAAAGGGAATTGAATGAAACAAAATGTATGTCCATCTGAACAAAATAACTTCAAGATGGACCTCTAATTTTTAAATAGCATGCTGATCACTGAGCTATCTTTCCTTACTCCAAGTAACGCTTTGCATTCTTTGGTATGTGGTAGGACAGTACTGTCTAACAATGCATCTGTACATCCAATAGGCATTATAAGAGAAGTAAATTGTAAGTAAATGACAATGAATTCCAAAGATTAGCAAAACTTATTACAACTTCCAAATTATATATGGTGTAATCAACAGCAGGAGAAAAATGACCCCATGTTGTCTCTTTTCAAGACTATTTTCACATGAAAAGGCTTTTTTTTTTTTTAGTTAATTTTGCTTCTACCTTTTTATTTGTTTATTTCCAAATTACACCCAAGGAGCAA